TCCCCTTGGCCAACTTTTGATAATCGACCGAGCGGATAGCTCCTGTTCGAGTCCAAGTATGCCGGTATACTCCTTCAAATTCATCACAAATTTCCCGAATAGTCGGGGAACGACTTCTTTGCGACTCATCAGAACTAGGATGTGAGGCTTTCCCTCTGCCGATCACGTTGATAGTGATCTGAGGATATTCAGCTTTAGAAACCCTCTTCTTCTGATGATGTCGTCACTTGGTAGGTCTTGCGACGTCAGCCAGTCTGTCGAACACAGACTTGTGAGGCTCAGGTTTACAACAGTGGCATTCGGAAAGGATTGCTGAAATAAGTCGCTCACAGTGGCATGAATGAGTTGCCTGTTGCGTTGGTTTCCCTCTAGAGAGTAATTCTCGCAAATCAGAGACTTGAGAGTAATTCCTCGTCGAGCATGAGGTCAGAAATAAAACCCCCTGTCCTTGAGTGGGCGAGACTGGTTCTCGTTGGACATGAATCTTAAGCCCATGTCGACTCCCTTGAACTTGGTGGACCACGTCGCGTTTTGGAGACGAAACACGAGGGTTACGTTGTGATTTGTAAACACCAGGCTTTAGCCTGCGTTTAATTGATGAAACAGACCCCTTAGGGTCCTGTTTTATTTGGACGCACTCATGAGGTGCGTGTTTATCCTTAGCAGCACTGTGCTTTGGATGGACAACGCACCATTGAGGATCACGTTTAAGCTGTATCACCCGAAGCTCATAGTTAGGCTCATTGCCGTGAAGTACACGTTCTGAAGTAGGAACGCAATGTTTGGGCGGGGCCTCAAAAACACAATCCTTGCATTGGACCAGAGATTGGTTTTCTCGGAGATGCGCACATCGGATGGATCTTCTTCGTCTTCGAGCGGTGTTTTTCTTGGCTTGTTTCAAAGCCTTTGCAGCAACGTCATTGATGTTTACAGAATTTGACTCTTCTATAGGCCGTTTGTAGCCCGTAGCACGTCGTGTTGATGTAGATGTGGACTGTTCAACTTGTTGGACAAGTCCGGTAGAGGCTAAGTCCGCTCCTTCAGAGGAGGGTGATTTGATGAATATCGGCCAAAGGAGAGGGCTTTCTTTGACCTTTCAGCAATAGGTTGGATCTCTTGGGAGATTTTTCGAATGTTGCGCCTGGCCTTGGGGCTAAGCGATCCAGAGGAAAGAGCTTCCTCGTACTTGGCTTGGTCAAACTCTACAACAAGAGTTTTAACAGTTGTTCCAGCGAGATGGACATCGGACTGCGCCACCACTTCATCGTCAGAGAAGCTAGTCCCCAGTAGAGTCACCATCTTTTATTTGTGGAAAAAATTTGCAGTAAAAGAAAGGAAGGAAAACTGATTCGTATTCCTTTAATCTCAGTTACAATTGGATTTCCTGATTACAAAAAAAAGGAGAATGAATTTGATTCTCCCCTTTGTTTAATTCTGGGTTTTTTACGGTGGCGGTAGAGTGCTTCCTTCGAATGCCCGTGTCGAATTAGCTCTCCGTTGACGATCCGAATGTCTTAATTCACTGGAACAACTGACTTGTGTGTTCGAGCTGGTTAAGAACTCCTAATGAGTTTTGTAACTCAAGACCAGTAACCAATTCTGGTGGAGAAGAGTTGTTTGAACCGAAATAATTCGGTTGAGAAAACCAAACTTTAAATATTTGATAATCTTTGGTTATTGAAGATTATTACCTCTAGATTTTCTCCAGAATTTTATCTCCAATATCCGATTCTTACCTCCCCCAAAATCCGATCTCCCCAATCTATTGAGTTTGTTGATATTTATATGGATATTCGTGATGTAACTACCACCATGATTTACTCCTAAGTGGGGCTGAATGGGGTGTAACCACCTCCTTAATCCGCTCCTAATTGAGGGCAGAAATCCCTCAGATCATGGGGAGAAAACGGTTTCTGGAACCGTTCAACTCGTGTTTGAACGAGTTAAACGCATGTCTTGTACTTGTGAGCTGCGTTGGGAAGCAGATGTGTCCTGCGTTGGCAGCTGTTAGAAGCTGCGTTCAGCAGTTAATGGAAGCTGCGTTCAGTAGCGAATGGAAGCTGCGCTCAGCAGCGAATGGAAGCTGTGTTTGCAGCATTTAGGCGCTGCGTTTGCAGCATTTAGGAGCTGTGTTTGTATAGCTTTGACTCTGAAATGAGGCCACTTATCCTTCACCTCTGGGATGCGGGGATGTGTCCTGCGTCTTGGATTGAAGAGATCGTTGACTTGTAATCTCTTCTGTCAGAGCGTCGCG